GCATTTTGATGTGCTGAGCTGAAAATAAATGAAGAAGTTCTTTGATGAAAGAACCATTTGTTTTAGCGTAAGTGCTGATGTTGACTCTAGTAAGATAATCATTTAAATACATCTTCTAATGCTTAGTAAGTTTCTGTGTAAGCTATGTTTCAGAAGTTCTTAGAAAGTAAGCGCTGATCAGAAGTACTTAGCAATCAAGCGTTATTTAGAAGATATGCAAGCATGTTCTGAATCAAGACGTGAAGCTAAGTTCTGAAAGAATGCAAAAGCTAACAAGTCTTGTCAAGCTTCAGGAAACATGTTCTTACAAGTGTCATTTGCTCATTTAATGCAAAGACGGCTACATGCACTCAAGTGTCTATGCTAGTTCATTGGAAAATGGAATAGTGCAAGGAAACACGCAAACATTTAATTCTCTCCACATTTGAAGGCAGCAATGGTCATTTTGTTCTTACTATATATAGAAGAACATTAATTTTAAGCCAACTACTAAAGTTCTGAATAACTGAATAACTTAGAGAACTCATCAATTTCAAAAGAAGCAAGAACAACGCAAAAATATTATGGGCTCACAAATAATTTTCATACACTTTGTGCAATACTATTCTTAGTGAAAAATCACAGTTGTGATATAGCTTTCTTAGAAGTAAACTTTGTTTCACTATCTGTAAAGTTTTATCTCTTGTAATTGTTCCTTGAGATACCAAGTTTGTTCAGATTTCTCAAGTAGACTAGGACTAGTTTAAGTCTTAGTGGTGTGAGTCACTTGTAAGATTACTTGTGCATTGTTAGTCACAATAGTTGTTGTGTAATTGTAATCAGTTGATTATAGTGGATTAAGTCCTTGTTGAGAAATGCGAAATCACCTTGACGGGTGGACTGGAGTAGTTTGAGTTCAAACGAACCAGGATAAAAATAACCTTGTCTTTCCATTATTATTGAGCCTTTAAGAAAAATAAAAAGAGAAACTTATTCACCCCCCCCCCCCCTTCTAAGTGTTTTCTCAACCTTCAGAGAGGAGTAGTCATACATAATGGTGTATGGACGGACTTTGCACCAGCCATATTAAACTTATCCAAGAGTTCTCTAATATAACCATGTTGAGATAATAACACACCCTCCTTGGTTGGAATAATTTTAATTCCAAGAAAATAATGAGGAAAACTAAGTTGTTTGAGAGAAAACTTCTTGGAAAGTTTTGTCATGAAATGATTTAAAAAGGTAGTATCACTTCCCGTCAAAAGTAAGTCATCAACATATACTAATAGGAAAGCTTGTACACCATGTTTATTGTAAATAAACAATGAGGAATCACTTAGGCTTATTTGAAACCCAACAGAAAGAAAAAAATCCTTGAGAGAATCATGCCATGCTCGAGGTTCTTGTCGTAAACCATAGATAGCCTTCTTGAGTTTGCATACATGTTGAGGAAATTCAGAATGAAGGAATCCGGGTGGTTGTTGCATGTAGACATCTTAGGTCAATTTTCCCTGTAAAAAGGCATTATTAACATCCATTTGGTGTAAAGACCACCCTTGAACAAGTGCTAAAGTGAGAACCACTTTAATGGTTTGAGGTTTCACAATCGGTGCAAATGTTTCCTTAAAATCAAGACCAGGTGTTTGAGTGAATCCTTTTGCAACCAACTGTGTTTTATAGCGTGCCACACTTCCATCAGGATTTCTTTTTATGCGAAACAACCATTTACAGCCAACTAAATTAGTGTGAGCTTTATGTGGAACCAAGGTCCAAGTACCATTGTTCATGAGTGCATTAAATTCAGCAGAACAAGCATCTCTCCAATGTGGTATTTTAAATGCTTGAGTAATGGTAGATGGCTCAAGATTTTCCTGTAACTCATGTTTAGTGGCAGTAAATAACTTATTGGGTTTGAATATATTATTTTGGGACCTTGTTACAATAGGATCATGTTGAACTGGATTATTTGTTTGTGAAGGTTGGACCTGATCGTGTGCATTATTGGTGGTAGAACTTGTTAAATTATCACTAGTCACTTGTATCTCTGTTGTTACAGATGGCCCAATAGGAAGTATTGACTCAGGGACTGGTGTAGGATTCGAGGCAGGAACTGGTATAGAACTAGATATCGGGACTGATGACTCAGATGTAGGTGTACAGCTAGGTACAGATGACAAGGGTACTCGTGTTTGGTTCGGTACAATGGCTGGTGCAGGACTGGATACTGTTAACGGGAGAACGGGTGGGACAGACATAGATGACTCATGCACTAGGGTCTGGTTTAGTACCGGGGCTAAACTTTGATCTTGGTTAACATGAATAATACTATGTACATCAGAGTCTGGTGATGAAATTAGAGGACAAGTAGACGACGAGTTAATTATGGATTGATATGGAAATGAATTTTCCACAAAATTGACATGTCTGGATACATATATCCTATTTGAAAATGGTTCAAGACAATAGTATGCATGTTGTGACATGGAATATCCTAGGAATATGCAAGGTTTAGACCTAGTTTGGAGCTTATTTTGCATGTATGGTTTTAGCCAGGGAAAACACAAGCATCCAAAGGAATGGAGTTTATTATAATTTGGTGTGCTTTTGAACAATACTTCAAATGATGAGACTATATTAATGTTTGGTTTAGGCATCCTATTAATAAGGTACACAGCAGTGGTGAAAGCAAATGACCATAGTTGAGAGGGTAAATTAGCATGATACAAAAGAGCACAACCAGTTTCAACAACATGTCGGTGTCGCCTCTCTGCTGTGTCATTTACCTCAGGTGTGTGTGGTGGTGTGGTTAAATGAGAAATACCATTATTGGCAAAAAAACGATTTTAATTTGATAAATTCGCCTCCATTATCAGTGAAAAGAGAAACGATCGGTAAATTGAAGTATTTTTCAACAACGGACTTGAATTGAACAAAAAGAGAGAAGACATCTGACTTATGTTTCATTAGATACAACCATACATATTTGGAAAAATGATCAACGATGATTAAATAGTATAAATAACCATCTAAGGATCTAACAAGAGATGGGCCCTAAACATCAGAGTACAAAAGTTCCAAAAGTTTGCTGCTTGTGAGATGATGATTTGAAAAAGGAAACTTGTGACTTTTTGCACAGTGACAAGAACTACACTCATGTGGGGCTGAAAGCTTTATTGGTAGATGATGGTTGTGTGTCATATGCTTTATTATTTTGAAAGAAGGATGTCCTAATTTATGATGCCATGTAGATGTAGAGTGGATGCTTGAATGAAATGCTTGTGGTGGACTGGATGGACTAAATGCATGGGATAGATGATAAAGATCTTGTTTACGGGGTCCTTGAAGCATAGGTTGACCCGAGTTCAAGTCCTTGACAACAAAATGATTTGGAAAAAAATCAACAGAACAACCATTAGATTGACATAACTTGGAAACAGACAAAAGGTTAGATTGAATTTTAGGCACACATAAGACTTGTTTAAGCTGAAGAGATTTGACAGAAGTATTAATAACAGAGTTACTAGTGTGAGTAATGTTCAAACCTGTTCCATCACCAACAATCACCCGATCTGCTCAAGGATGGAGATTTGTTAACATGAGCTGTTGCAGGTCTTGAGCAATATGATGAGATGCTCTAGTGTCCATGATCCAGTTACGATGATGTGTTGCAGCCTGATTCTGTGCAAGGTTCGTTGTTGGCTTAGGGCCATTTCGTTTTGGAAATCCCTTAATTCTGTAGCAGGTTTTAGCAGTGTGACCAGCCTTGTCACAAAACTGACAGACCACCTTATTTTTGCCACTCCTCATAATTGGAGAAGAGCTACGGTTGTTGTGGTTTTTGTTGTGATAGTTGTTGTTTCTTGTGACTGCATTGGCAGTTGCAATCACATTATCAACTGTAAGTGGATCAGTTTGGTGATGAATTATTTCAAAGTCGATCAGTTTCTCATGAAGTTTAGCAAAGGCAACTGTACTTTCTCTGCTTCTAAGTGCAGTGGAAATTTCACGATACTCAACACTCAACCCATTGAGAGTGTGAATTACAAGGTCAGTTTCATCAAGAGGATGCTCAATGATTGAGAGTTCATCAGAAATTTCCTTTATTCCTTGAAGATATGTAGCCATCGATTGGTTTCCTTTTTTGAAATTGGAAATCCGTTGTTTGAGTGCGATGATACGTACTCTTGAGCGGCCAGCATACATGGTTTTTAGGATCTCCCATGTTTGATTGGAACTTTTGACAGTTCCTAGGTGAATGACTATTGTTGCAGCCACAAATGATACGATTCCATGTAGAATCAGTTGATCTTGTTGAACCCAATAAGTAAAGGCTGGATTGACAATCGTGGTATTGATCTCGAGTTGTTTTGATAGACAAGGCTTAGTTCCATCAATATAGCCTAAGAGATCATAGCCTGTTAAAAGAGCCATGAACTGGATTCTCCATGCAGGGTAATTGTCTCCATCGAGTTTGATGGAGAGTTGAGAACCAGCATTCAAAATGATCAGTTTGTCTGCCGGCGATGACACATTAGACGTCATTTCAGTGTCAGAAGGTGAAGCCATAGTAAGGATCGTGAGAGAGAGAAAAAAATTGAGAGGAAAAAAAATATTTTTAAGCTTTTACGCTCTGAATACCATGAAGAGAATGATATTCCAATATTCTAGTCATAAATGTTGACTATCTATGGATACAAAAGATACATGATTGTATAAATAATTTTTAATCTTAAGGGAGCTCTTATGCCGATTCCTAACATCAAAGCATGAATGATTCAAACTATAACAAGTCATATGCACACTAATAGGAATTGTTGGTTACACCTAAATTATAGGAGCAACTTATAATTATCTGTTATTATGTTGATTATTCAAAGTTCAACTATGACACAGTGAAAAATGTGAGGTCCTGTGCAGTAACCCTCCTTGCACGTTTTCAAAACGGTCCTGATCAGTAATATTTTAGAGTAATTTTTAGACTGAGGTCGAGACTATATAGTAAAAGTTCTTGTTCTTTTCAGATGACGCTGACTCGGGATCTGCAGGAGGGTCCAAAAAGAATGCAGGAAAGATTTCTGGTATTACAATTGCTATTATAGCTATCTTGATTTTGGGAGTGACCATATTCATTTTGAGGAAGAAAAGGAGATTGAAGTGAATACAGATAGTGAATACTAATCAGAGAGGTTCTTACTTACACAGTTTTCTAGATTAGGTGATTCTTGCTGCAGCTTTATAAAATGTGTTTTTTTCTTGTTTCCTTAAACCAGGTAATTCTGATAAAGGTCAGAAAACACTGTTATCTGAGGTGAAGTTTTCGAATAGCAGAGAATATTCCGATGATAGGAACATCGATGAACTTGAATTGCCACTGTTTGAGTTTCATGTTATATCAGATGCGACAGACTGCTTCTCTTTAGCAAATAAACTTGGAGAAGGAGGCTTTGGAACTGTTTACAGGGTAAATATATTTCCATTATTTACATACACAATAGTACCTCTATAACACTGACAGATCAAAGACGTGTCTGTTGTCTGATACCGAGACATGTGATAATATTGAATTAAATAGTTTTCTAAAATTATTACAAGTATCAACGTTTCAGTGTTAACATTATGTCATGTGTTTGTGTCACTGCTTCATAGATTAGCGCTATCAAGCAGTGTCAGACACCGGACACGCCTTCAATGAAAAGTGTTGAACTATATAAGCACCCTTTGTTTACAACGAAATCCATACAAGTGAATGTGGGAAATACAGGGTAGGCTAGTTGATGGCCAGGAAATTGCGGTGAAGAGGTTGTCAACAAGCTCTGGACAGGAAATGTAGAATTCAAGAATGAGGTAAGATCAATTGCAAAGCTTCAACATCGAAATCTTGTACGTCTCTTTGGTTGCTGCATTGAGAAAGAGGAGAAGATGCTAATCTATGAGTACTTGGAAAATAACAGCCTAGACTCTATTTTATTTGGTGAGTTTACAAACGTACATTTGCAAAGTCTAATCGAATTGTGTTGCATTCAAATTATTGATATTTATTAGTATAACTAATGAAATTTCAGACCAAACAAAGAATTCCAAGCTAGATTGGCCAATGAGATTCAATATCATATGTGGAATAGCCAAAGGGTTACTTTATCTTCACCATGACTCAAGATTTAGAATCATCCATAGAGATCTCAAGGCAAGCAATGTTCTACTTGATAGAGAAATGAATCCAAAGATATCAGATTTCGGGATGGCTAGAATTTTCGACAATGATCAGACACACTCTATTACAGAGAGAGTTGTTGGAACATAGTGAGTGCTATGGTAACCAAATGCTTAATTTAATTTGTTTAATGCATAATGTCATGCTTGGTTTACTTCGTTATTAATCTATAAATAAGTTTGTTTGATCTGATATGCAGTGGCTATATGTCACCTGAATATGCAATGGGTGGATATTTTTCGGTGAAATCAAATGTTTTTAGTTTTGGAGTTCTCGTGTTGGAGGTCTTAAGCGGCATGAAGAATAGAGGATTTCATTTCTCAGATGATCAAAATCTCCTCGGACATGTAAGAAAAAAGGCCTAGTTTATTTGAATGATTACGCGATCGTTACATTATTATGTGCTAATTTAACTTTTATGATCCGATTATATTTTGTTGTAGGCATGGAGGCTGTGGAACGAAGGGAAAGTATTGGAACTTATCGATTCATCATATGCAGGTTCATATTCCGAATCTGAAGTTATAAGATGCATACATGTAGGCCTAATATGTGTCCAAGAAAAAATAGAAGACAGGCCCACAATGCCTTCAGTGGTGATGATGTTGAATAGCGAAACAACAACGCTGCCGCAACCGAAGCATCCTGGATTCGTTCTTGGAAGAAATCCAGGTGAATCCGATTCATCTTCGGCTAGACAAGAAGAATCACACTCAATAAACCAAGTCACTGTTACAATAGTAACTGGCAGATAGATAAACTATGTAAGAATCATGTCGAATTCTACACATTGAACTTTATTCGAGATTTTATATCATGTCAAAATTTTATATCATTAATTAAGGTATCATTATAAGATTGTATGAGTACAAAATGAGTGTTAAGCGCGTCAAAAGTAAATTCTATAGAATCGAATTCGCAACTGCTACTAAACTCTATTTACAGAAACATGTTTTCATGTTTCTCATTTTCTAGGACTATACAAATATGTTGGATGATGATGATGTAATGGTTCTTTTACTACCTAGCATCAAGCAATGTGACTGTGACTTGGTTCACACTCCATGTTTCGTCTTGCTTACTTGAAGACGAATCGGTCTCCGGAGGATTCTTTGATCTTCCAAGGGAAAACCCTGGACTTCTAGGTTCTGGCATTAGTGCAGTTTCACTTCCAAGCATCAAGAGCACTGAAGGCATTGTTGGCCTATCTTCGGCGCGTTCTTGGACGCACAATAGTCCAACGTGTATGCATCTAAGAACTTCAGATTCTGTATATGAATCGCCAATTGACGAATCAATGAGTTCCAATGCTTTTCCTTCCCTCCACTGTCCCCATGCCTACAACAACAAAACATTATCAGTTACTTCTTAGTACGTAGGATTTCGTTAGAAGATTTTATCATAGTACGAATTGAAGGATCACTCTGACTTACATTCTGTAGAAGATTCATATCATCGTTTGCGTAGTAGAATCCTCTATTTTTCCTTCCACTTAGGATCTCTAGCACAAGAACTCCAAAGCTAAAAACATCTGATTTCACCGAGAAGTTTCCGTCCATAGCATATTCAGGAGACATATAGCCACTGCACGTTAAAAAACATACAAAATGACGAGACTATTATATTTGGTCTTTTATTATAAGAGTACTATAATGCAACATTGTGTTACTCACTATGTTCCGACAACTCGCAATGTATTTGCTTCTGTTTGATCATGGCGAAATATTCTAGCCATCCCAAAATCTGATATTTTTGGATTCATTTCTCCGTCAAGTAGAATGTTGCTTGCCTTGAGATCCCTATGGATAATCCTCAGCCTTGAATCATGATGCAGATAAAGAAGCCCTCTAGCGATTCCGCATATAACGTTGAATCGCTTTTTCCAGTCCAATAAGGGCTTTCTAGCTTTGTCTTTAAAACATTAATAAAACAATCAAGAATTAGGAAAAACATATCTACATTTTGCAAAAAGAAAAGGACTCGAGATACAAAATGTTGAAAAAACTCACCAAACAAAATGGAATCAAGGCTTCTATTTTCCATATACTCATACACAAGAAGCTTCTCATCATTTTCGATGCAATAACCTAAAAGCCGAACAAGGTTTCGATGTTGAAGCTTGGCAATTAACTTGACTTCATTCTTAAATTCTTCATTTCCTTGCCCTGAAGTTTTTGATAACCTCTTGACAGCAATTTCTTGCCCTTCAATCAACCTTCCCTGGTATCATCAAAACCACAAAAACTCATGTTAGTGTTAGAATACATGTTTTATATATACACCAAATACATCAGTTATTCAAAGAACTTGGAAAGAAAAACAACTTACCCTATAAACACTACCAAAGCCTCCTTCTCCAAGTTTATTTTCTTCCAAGAAGTTGTTTGTAGCTATTATTATGGTATTAAACTCAAACATTGGCAAATCTAGTTCATCCATGTTCCTATCTCCCGAGGTTTCTCTATTACTTGAAAAAACAACCTCATTCATCAACAAATCTCTGCTTCTTTGGATAGAACCTAGTTTAATGAAAAAAAACAAAACATAAACATAAATATCATATTCAAAATGCATTTGTTTTTTTAAGGAGAAACATATATAGTAGTTGTGCATTACCTCTGTTGTCTGTCTTTCCATGACTTAGCAATTTCCTCTTCTTACATAAAAGGATACACAATCCCAAAACTATAACAGCCGCAGAAATTGTGATTCCTATAATCTCAGTTTGATGACTTTTCTTTTTAGAGCCACTAGTAGATCCTGTGTTATCTAAGGAAAAAGAGTTTTTTTATAACATTTGTTCTAGCTTTCAAAAGATAAATTTTATAGCAAAATGTTTGATGAACAACTTTTTCGTACACCCTTACGACACCTGGTTAACTATTTACTAAAAAAGTGATTAATTCAATTAAGCAGTTAATTACTTCAATTCACAGTCAAAATGGTTCCGATAATTAATTATTTTAGAAGTACATGTGCTTCAGAGATTACAAGCAAAACTCATGAAAAATGAGACAGTATTGTTTTGAATTTGAATGCAATTGTGGAATGGAAGGGCACCTACTCCCACCAAAGTGTATAAAGTTAAGTTGTGTAACCAAAATTCAAATTTGTTTTCTAAACTCAAATTCAAAAATGTATCAATGCATGCTCAAGTACAAGTCTAAACTTTAGACAATAAATATATAATATGCAATGTGAATGTGATAGACAACTCATTTTCAATACCAGTACACCAAGAACATTGAATGGGCCCAAGAAAGTCAAAAGGTCGGCCCATGTCAGAAAGTAAATGGGCCCAACAACCAAACAAAAGATACGTGGAGAAATACTATTTGCTCACAACTTTAGTTTTTCCTCACAACTCACATATACCAAATGAGATACACAAGTTCAAAGACAACTATAATAAGTAAAAAAAAAATGTATGCAACTAAAGAGATTAATCGCTTGAATCAGAATCAAAATTCTCTGTGTTCTTTGCATTTTCATCGTCACATTTCCGGGAATCCAATTTCAATCCTTGAAACGAACACACCCTAACAAAAATAAAAAAATATGAAACACAAAAAAACATACCTAGTTCAGAAGCTGCCAATCTAACAAAGAGATCTTGTCCACCATCAGGATAACTTCTTATATCATTAAGTTCATCAAGCCACATAACACAACCAATTCCTCCATTACTTATATAAACATTTGCATAACCAGTACATGAACAATTCCCATGACACAATTCACCACATTCATCAATCTCCATTGTTCTATTCACAAACACTGAGGTTGTATCAGGCAACTTCACATTCTCCATAAGATAAAACTTATCACTCTTACAATCCAAATCCTTATTCCTCACACACCCATCAGATCCATCTCTCAATTTCCAAGCCTGTTCATTCTTAGGACTAAACCCTTTCACACATTCACAAACCGGTGAAGCGTTGGAATCACATACACCATAAGGACCACATTCTTTGTAACCATCACATTGATCTTTCGGCGCATACCAAAACGTTGTCCATGTTTTGCTACTTTGAACCCAAGTTAGACGTTGAAGTTGACCATTAGAATTCACTGTAAGTCTCGAAAAAATGGACTTATTCCCAATCGAAAACGAGTAGTTAACACCGTGTTCGTTTGATGAGAAACTGAAAACTATTGAATCTGTGCCAGGTTGCATCTCTGGTACACCGCTGAATCTTTCACCATTCCAAGGTCCACTTCGGTAGATTATAGTATCATCATTCCGCAGGAAAACTTCTGGTAAACCATGATAATCAATTTTGAATGAATAATCTCCTGATGAAGGATCTTCACCTGTGATCTTCCATGATGTTAAGTGCTTTTCAGTTTTTTTGTCCAAGTTCCAACCCATATTCATGGTTGGTAACAAAGTATCTGTCGGGTGATCGAAGCTTTGCCATAGGTATTTTGTTGGATCATTCACGTTTGTTTCTCTGAGTACTAAATTTCCAGTATCTAAAAGCTGAAGAACAAGAACTTGGTTTTTAGCATTTGTTTGATTCGAAGACCAGACGAGGTTGTTTGAATCTGATGATGAATTGAGAAGTACTATGTTTCCATCGTGAGTGATTTTGAGAAAGGTGTTTGTTGAATTTTGAAGAGGGTTGTCTCTGTTTGCGACCCAAACAACTGTGTCTGGGATGTTTTTGTACCATATGGCTAAATAAATGTTGGGGTATGTTCCTTGGATGAAACCAAGAACGAATGATTCTTGAAGAGATTCAAGGGTCTGATTAGTTCTGAGAATTTGTGTTGAGGTTAACGTGTCTGTGACTGTTGAGGTTGAGATTGTGATGAACAAGAAGAAGAGGACGAAGAAGAAACATCCTCGCATGTTTGAGAATTGTGTTTGTTGGAAGAGAAATTGTACAGTTTATAATAATAATGATTTATATGGAGTTATTGTGATGTAGGTGGAGAAGAAAGAAGAACGAGTTGACCCCGGCACTAACTTGTTGATTCTTTTCCACTTTCAAAAGAGAAACTATCGTTGTTAGTTTTCACCAAATACTCTATCTTTTCTATGTGTGAATAGGATCAGTTTTTGCTAGGTCAATGCTAGGATAATTGCTTACATAAGTTGGACACAAAAAGAAAAAGAGATACTATTTTTAATACTTAAATAAATGGTGATTTAGACCGGCCCCGCACTAGTCTCACTAACAGGGAGACCCAATCCAACACCCTTGCATAAGGTTCAAAGACAAGTAGTTCAGGTTGGGGATCGTTGGGCAACTCCCCACGTGCCCGTTGGGAAACATGGTCCACGTGTCCGTATCATTGTCATCATAACTGTCTTCCGGGAATCACGGGTCCAACACCTACTCTCTCGTGGAAGTTAACCATGGAGAGTCCACGTGTTTGACTCCATACACACATAAGCTCTGACAGTCTTCATTGTTGGGCCTCATCGTGGCTCAACACTGGAGACCTTGGTCCAACGCTGGAGGCTATAAATACCCTCTCTCTTGAGAGGATCAGGTATTCATTATTTCATACTCATATTCTCATACTTGCTAGCAGTATTCCTGAATCTTACTTTAGCATCAAAGTGTCTTGCAGGTACCCCCCCAACTCATTCCCAATTGTCGCTCAACTCACAGCTCGAAGGCCTTGATGCTCCATTCTGATCAAGAACGATCAGTGGCAGCGTCTGTGGGAAACAAGCTTCTCCGTCTTTCATTAACCCAAGACTAAAGCAATTCTTCAAACTTTTCATGACCGACCCAGC